TTATTTTCTCTGTTCACTTTTATCCTCAACTTAATCCATATCCCTCTGTGTTTTTATAGTATAAAATGTCTGGGAAAACATGATTTGGGACAATTCATATATAAGATGGCATTTTGAAGTTAGCAACACAGTAAGCAGATTCATACCATGTCAATCTCATATGTATAGACAGTGGTACTATGTGGTAGTATGGAGCTTGAGAGTTTCTGTTCCCAAAGGTACGAGGACAAGGGACTTGCAGGTATTCTCTTATCCCAAAGGGGCAAGGAAAAAAAAAAAGCACATGAAGTTTTCATAATTCCTTTTTCAAAAATGCAAACTTGTTCAAGTTAAACACAGAAAGTCAGTGGTTGGATCCCAAAATGAACTGTTTTGGTTTAGTGCTTTGTATTTTAACATTAAAAACAATAATAACAGTAAACAAACAGAACAAAAACAAAAATCATAGCTTTAAACATCAAGGGATGTTTTTTAAATTCTGATTTTTAAATGGTTTTTTATTCCCAAATAGAATTCCTGGTTTAATTTATTGAGAAAACATTTTATTGGAAGTTGGGTTTTTCCCCCCCCAAGAGAACTCCTTCTATCATAGAGACTGGTAAACCTCTAAAGGATCAAAGCTCTGGTGGATTTGGATAAAGACACTAAAGCCTGAAGGCTTATGCAAGTTTATCTACATAAAGTAAGCCCAAAAAACTGGGATGAGAGTCTTAGAAGAGCTTATTTTCTCATGAGATTTTTGGGACTTCCTCTGTCTGGTTGTGCCAGAAATACTGTGAGAATATCCATTCTCATGGCATTTGTCACTTACAGGTCTTGTCCCAGCTGGAATTTGAAAGTATAATGGTCTGTGAAATATTTATGTATCTTAAGGCTTCAAGAAGCCCACTACTAGAACTGCAATTAAACAACCTCTGCACTTTTTATTGTACTCATACAGTAAAGAAAAAAGAGAAAAGTAAACAAAAGTATAAAAGTGTAAAGGTGACACCTAGCATTTATGTAGTGACTCTCTTCATAGATCTCAAAAATTTTTCATTTTATTATTTCTGTCATATACATTCCTGAGAGGTGAAGCAAAGAGAAAAAATAGGGACCAACTTAATATAGATCCAAGACAGATATTACAAGTTTTTTTCTTGCTGAACCTTATTATACTAAGAGGCTTGAGGTTTAATGAAACATCCTGGCTTGGAAATTTAGCCTCGATACAATCACACGGAAGTGTCTAAAGATCTGTTCTTAAAATTATAAAGTCTAGGCTCCTAGCCTAATCAACATGAGACTAAGCAAAATAATGAAAACCGTAGATTCCAGTCATCTGGCTATATTCTGATGTACTTTGAGTCCCCTCCACAATTATTTTTTCTATAGATCATAGAGTTGTACTTTTCTTCATCTCATGGATGTGGGAGAAAATATATTTCCTTCTTTCATTCAGCAAACACTTGTTGAGCTGTTTATGATTAGTAAGACACTGCCCCTACTCCAGTCTTGTGGAGGATAGATTCAGCTAGAATCTAACAAAGAAAGTCAAATAACAGAACAAATCATTTATAACCAAAGATTTTAACAATAGAACAGGGAAGAAGGGATCATTCTACTATTTTGTGTTATCTGATTTTTTTTTAATGTATATTATTTACATGTAGATCATTATGTGTCGGCTACTGAGATTTCTTTTCTAAGCCAGCTCTCTCATTTTACTGATATTATTGTTCATACATCTCTTATCTTAGCCTTTCTTTTCTACTAGAAAAGGGAAATAAGACACAGGTTCCTTCCTCTATTCTCAAATTCGTGTATCATACCTCCCTTTTTAAGTTGTCCTTTAAAACGACAATGAAGTGGCTCCTCCTCTTTGTTCCACAGACATTTTTCAGATATCTTTTTTTAGCGTGTTTTTCTCCCATTTTTCATTTTTTGTTAATATGTCTTTCTGCACCATTATGTTATGAAGTCTTTGAAAGTCTAGGTCCTAGAACAGGGCCTGACACTAATAAGCCTTCAAAAGTGTGAAGTGAAAGAATGAATGAATGTGAATGAAACCTTTGCTTGGTATGGTATCTTGTTAATATCTTCTTTTTAGTTGCAGTCCTTAAATCTTAGTTCTGTATTCTATATATCCTATCAGCGGTCCCTTTCCTTAAGCCTTACAATCTGACTTTTCCATCTATCTATTAAAACTACCTTGTTGAAGACTACCAGCATTAGTAGTTTTTTTCCCCCTCTGAGTTTGCATTCCTGAACCTTTTCCTTGTTGGAACATTTCAATAACATATTTATACTTTCATTAAAGGTATGTCTATAAATTGCTTACCATATCCAATATATAAGACAGACACTACTTCTATGAACATAAACATGAGCATAAAATGTGCACAACTTACTTTACTCTCTTACCTGTGCTAGGTTTCCGACAGAGACTACATTATAAACACAGACACCAAGAGTAGAAGACTGTAAACACCTGGGTGTTGTGTGAGACTACAATAGCTGGCTGAGAAGGATAGGTCTGAAGTTCTTTGTGTGCTGTTCTGAGATTGTCCTTTAACCTCGTCAGACAGTGAAGCATTTTAAGTCATGGCTAGCTAAATGACAAGATTTGGAACTTCTCAGTCAATCACTTTATTTATCTAGACCACTCCTCTTGTCTATGAAGTTCAAAATATGTACTGTTCCCTTGCTGAAGAACTTACCTAAGTTATTACTTCTCTGCCTGAATTGAAAGGTCCTCCTAAAACTGAAATAGTTTTTTCCCACTGCTTTCCATTATCCATCCTCTACTCAGGTGGAGATTCCTCACTACTGCTCATGTAATGGCATCCCTTTACACCCCTCTCCCTTCATGTTATCCTTCATGCCTACAGCATTCCTTCTCTTCTGCTCTTAGCTATATATTGCCCATCTTTCAAAGCCTCGGTCATATCCCATCTGCTCCACGAGCCCTTTTCAAATAATTGTTCCCATGCTTCTTGTCTTTATTTCTAGAAAATTGGCACTTAATTATTCCTGTTTCATGCATATTAGACTGTAAACTTCATTATAATAGGGAATATAGTTTTTCACAGCATGTTATTTGGCTAAGGCACTCAACAAATATTTGTTTTCTAGTTGAGAAATGTGTATGGGGTATACAGGTCTTGAATTTCATTATCTTCTGATATATTTAATGTTGCAGTCTGACTTCAGATCCAAGTTTATATTAGCCAGTTGTCTAATGATGAATCTTACAACTATTTGTATTGGCCTTGAAAGCGTGATAAATAAATCACATTGAATGACTTAACTATAAAAGAGTTTTTCTGTTATTCCTCCAGAATAGAAAATATTGTAATGGGATTCTCCTCTTTGTATTTTCTACAAGGTTCTTTGTTGTATGAGTGTTGTATTATTATGTCTAATTTAATAAACAGTCTAAAGCATCTTGTGCACATTATGAATGCTGTCTTTTGATATCCCTGCAACAGGTATAGCTTGCTTCTATTAACTTTAATGTGTATTCTGAATTGGAAATTTAGGGAGGATAGGCTATTTTATTTGCATGAATTTCTTACTTTTCTTCTTATTTGCAAAAGAGACATTTATCAAAGTTTAATTCTGTACAGTAATAGATTTGTGACCAAAGAAGGAGGAGCATTTGGTTAAGCCATCATTGTAATTCTGAAAGCATTGTTATCTTCTTACGATTTTTAAAAATGGAATTCTTTCCTTTTCACTTCCTCTGAAGGTACCGTTAGATACAAGGGTACTTCAGAATTTCATGGAAAAATGAAATTGAGTGATATATGCATCTAGCCATAAAATTTTTGAAGACCTCTCATACTGTGTGGTAGTTTTTCCTTTATCTTGAATTCATGCTATTGTCAAAGTGAATGTCTTTCAGGATGTCTTTTAGAAATAAGATATTGTTTAGGACTTTTTGGGGGGATTCTTTTGCTGTTCATATTTGTTCATATTGTTCATGGTTGTTGCTTTAATTCAAATCAGTAAAAAAAATTTTTTGTGTTTACTGTGACTATTATTTTAAAATGCTATATTTACTGCTAACCATATAAATGGGGTAATTTTTATAAAAAACCAAGAACAGGTATTTGAAATTAACATTAGGTCAGTCAGATGTTATCTATATGTAAGAGTTGTCGGATTATAAACACTGGACTCATTTTGTAGTACAGAAAATTTTTATTAAAGCTTCTCTATAAGTTGTTGAATTATTAAGACTCACTTGAAAACTACAGTGAAAGGGCAAACACTTAGATCAATGGAACAGAATCCAGAAGCAGATCCACACATATCCTCTTTTTTGAGGATGACCTAATCTTGCATGTAGAAAATCGTAAGGAATCCACAAGAAATTATTAGAGCTAAGATACGACTTCAGCAAACATGTAGGATGTAAGATCAGTGTATAAAAATTATGTGTATTTCTATATACTATGTACTTAAGAAAACAATTCCATTTACAAACTGCATCAAAACCAATAAAATAATTAGTAGTAAATAAATCAAAGAGGTACAAAACTTGTACCCTGAAAACTACAAAACAACATTGAAAGAAATTAAAGAATACTCAAGTAAACGGAAAGGCATCCTAAGGTCTTGGATTGGAAGACTTAATATTATTAAAATAGCAATAATGTTCCTTAATTGATTTACAGATTCCACGTAATTCCTATCAAAAGCCTAGCTGGCTTTTTTTCTGAAATTGACAAGGTATAAGTGAAAGCAGCAAATTTTGTTGGATGTAATGACCCATTTAATAAGGGCAAAAAACCACATTGATTGTCTTTAGAAAGAAAAGGAATTCATCCCCCATCCCCAAAGACTGAAATCTCTATTTATAATCTGGTCAAATTTTGGTTTCTTCCCATCCATATAAATCTGTTGGCATTAATTCTGCCTTTGATACCTTTCTTGAATGATCATTGGAGTCAGTGAAACCCTATCAGAGATAGTGAAGCTTCTGTGGTCATGCTTTTGTGTTTTTCTCTTTGCAGGGAAACTGAACAGCCAAGAGTCCTACAACAATTTTACCAACAATAATCCTGGCAACCCTCGGCTTTCTCCTCTCCCCAGCTTGATGGTCGTGATGCCTCTTGCACAAATCAAGCAGCCGATGACATTGGGGACCATCACCAAACGAACAGGGTAAGTCCTCAGGCTTGATGCTTTTTTAATAGCTGATCTAGAGGGTTGAATGAATAAAAATAAAACATTTTCATTGTGTACTTTTGATTATGTTCATCATTTCAGCCCATATGAGACTTAATGGCAGGAGATGAAGAACAAAGTATAGAACTTGCACAAACATACTCACACACAATCATGTACACACACATCCATAGAGACAAGTCGTGAAACTAGTATTGGCTGATCAATCAGATTCATCTACTTAGTCTTATGCTTGCTGCCTCATGGCTCTGACTGAAAGTATATTTTCATTTTCTTGGCTCTTGCAGACATGATTGGGATTTAAAATGACTCCCAAATTTTGATAGACACAAGTACTAAGGAGAGAACATTAGATGACATCCACATTTCTAGTACTTTTCGAAAATCATCTCTGTTGAGGGATAATTTACATATGATAATCTGGCATTAGTGTCAGGACAATGTGGTGTTATGGGAAATTTTCAAAAGCAGTAGTCCTAATAGTTGAGCTTTATTCAAGATTGGTCATTAGCATCCTTAAAGACTTTTGATGACTCATTTGGTTTGTTTTTTATTTTATTTTTTAAATTTTTTATGATTTATTTTTTATTTTTAGCTGAGTGGTATGGTGATAGAACTTGGTGTTACCAGCACCACACCACTTGATTTCTTTGTGCTTATTTTAGCTATTTAAAAAATTTCTACCTGTTAGGAATGTACAACTATCACTTACTGGGGAAAAGTTTTCAATTAACAATGATCGTGCCTCAGATAAACCTCATTGGCCACGATACTGCCAGTGCGCAAAGCTTTATCGCTTATTTGGGCTCCTGAAAATAATCTATGTCTATGATAGCATTAGATATTCAGTTGTATCATAACACTGAAAATCTATTTTGTACCAGAAAATATATATCTCTAGGCAAATTACTTTTTCCCTCAATGAGCAAGCCTGAAGTTTAATCTAATTTGAAATGCAACAACTGTCTTAAATTTTTGTGTTAAACTAGTCAGGAGAAAACCTTGTCTTGGCCTCAAAGAGTCCTCAGGGTCTTTCTCATAAAAGGAATAGATTAAATTATTTGACTGCTATGTCAATATATCTTAATATTGTTGTGCTAGGTGTTAAAGTGTTTACAGAGGCCACTTTTGTGAAAAGAAATACTCTTTTCAGGAATGAGACCTTTGAGCTTCAGGTTTTACTATGACATAGAAATAGGCCCTCTACCTAGTAGTGCTTCTGTATAAAGTGATCCTATTGCTGAATGCAGAAATAAAATGAAATTTGTGGCATCCTAGGGGGAAAAAAAAGGAAAAATACAGTAAACCTACATTGCAAATGAGACTGTATTCTGGTACCAACCATTTGGTCTGTATATCTTTCAGTTGATTTCAGCTTTTTAATTTTGTGTTCAGTAGAAGTGTAATTTTAAATAGAATTTAGACTTTCTCATCCTGTGTTAGTTTCTTTGGTTTAAAATACCTTAATAGTAGAGGCTGTGAATAGTGAATGGGTTACATTCTTATATTTAGTTAGCTTATTATTATTTTTTTTTTGTATGACACTACATTCCTAGGATATAGAATTAAATAAAATTGGGACTGAATCTTGAGTCATAATTTTAAATTTATTTTTTCACCTAATGAAGTCAGTCAATATATAATTTTATCTTCTTAATTCACCCCAGCATTGTACATTTCTATAAAGTACTTAGAAATTTTTGTCTGTCTTTCCTGAATCTAAGTGAAAACATCCTCAAAATTGTTCTTCTGGCATTTAATTCTACTTTTAGAGTGAGGAGAAGATAAGAAGGTTCAAAGGGCTCCTGGAGACATGAAAGCATATTCTGGTGTTTTATTTCCATTGTGTGTTCATTTGTGTGTGTGTGTGAGTGTGTGTGTGTGTGTGTGTGTATGTTTAAACATGAGCTATGTTGTTTTATAATGCAAATAATTAGCTCTCTTTTTAAAATAAGCTCCAAATATATCTCTGAGGTAGTGATTAATGTTTTATGAATAAAATATGGCATTAGTTTTTAATTCAAAATATTTGTGTGGAGAGGTGAAAGTGAGTCTAATTTTGCCTATATTTGAAATTTCCCATAACAAGAAGATAAAATCTCTTTTTCACTCTCTTTCTCACTACTCTCTTTCTCTCTACACTGAGATAGGAGGAAACTTAATCATCTGGTGTCATCCTGTGCTACCATACTTTATCAACTTAGGTAAATTCTGTATGTTTCTAAACATGCACATGATTCTGTATGTTTAAATTCTGTATGTTTAAGAACTTGCTCACAATTCTCAAATTTTTGGAGCATGTGTACTGTGTTCTCTTGTATTATGGACAACTTGATAATTATTTATGAATTTGAGTTATGTGCTTTAAAATTAATATCAATATAAGATACTGGTATCATATTGTTTCCTAGGCTTTGTGTCTCAATTTTCAAACCATTTTATTTCTGCCAAGTTTTTATATTCCTTTTACCATGTCTTGTATTGAACTATTTAGAGAATAATTCATACTTGTCCCACAGTGAGTGCTTGGTTTTAATTTTTTTTGACATAGTTTTAAACTTACAAAAATATTTCGAGATACTAAAAAGAATTCCTGTATACCCAGATTTCCCAAACGTTTACAGTTTAACTTATTTGCTTTATTCTTCACATTCTTCCATTCTGTCTACTTATACAGTAACACGTCATATTTTTCTTACTTGTTTCAGAATAAGTTGCAGACTTAATATCCCCTTATCCCTACATACATCAATGTGTAATTTCTAAAGGAAAGGTCATTCTTTTACATAATCACAGTACAATTATCAAAAGAAGAAATCTTAAAGTGAATTTTATTAGTTTTTTTCTACTCCACATATTTGTTGACTGTAATGAATTTTCTCCTGTGTCCAAGCTTGAGTGCACCACAAATTCCCCAACCCACTATTCTCTTTTTTTTTTTTTAACCTTCTCACCTACTATATTTTTTTAATATCATGATAGTGGTCATAACTTATATTTGACCACTGCTGGATTATAAGATTTTCTGAAGAATTTGTCTTTCATACTCAGAAATTGCTATTGTGACTTTCCTTACCATTCTTAAACATTTGGTTGTAGTGTTTTCATAATATAATTTGTGTTTTTATTATCTTAGCATTTAACATTTTCATTAAAATATATGTCTTTTTCCTTATTTCCAGAAAGTAACATTTCTGGTGTGTCAATTCCAGGGGGAAAAAAAAGAATATTTCATTTCTGAAAACAAAATATATTCTCTGGAATCCCATTTTTACTATATGCTGAGTTTTTTGAAGCAAATCCCAGGAAGTATTTCATTCTGTTAGATTTCACCCTAGTATAGTTTAAAGGCTATCTTTATTTCATTAAAATTTTTTTTACTGTTACAAATTCTCAAGATGGTAGGTACCTAATTTGCATTCATTATTTCAATTACATTTTATTGTATTTCCTGAGAAATTTGATCACCACTCTAAGGTCACCAGCGTGATGATCAAATGGGGATTTCATTTTCCAGGTCTCTTTTCATTCTGGAATTTCTTAGTTATTCAAACTTTGCTTTTATGAAACTCCTTTCCTAATGTTCTTAACATTCAATTAGCAAGAAGTATTTGACATGCATTATTTAGAAAGAGAACACAGAGCTGACCCATTTATAGACATGTAGATTCTATTACTACCTCCAGTTTGCCTGGTAATACACCTAGTAAGATTATATACTTTCTCACGTTAGATCACCTTTCATGTGTCCCATGTCTTAGGTATTTTGCATAAAGACATAAAATAACCATAAAAAGTTATATTTGTAGAGTAGAGATTTCTAAGGATTTCCTAGGATCCAATATTTAAATACCCAAATTGAGAGAGAAGCCTCTACTTAAACCTTAAGGGGACAAAAACGTGTGTTTACCACATTTAACATCTGCCCTCTTATTTTTGCAAATACATATCCCTGAAAGCCTTCCAGTGTCAGGCACCATCTGTCTTACTCTAAGACATACATGAGGCCAGTAGAACTACAAATGGCAAAAGACAGATGTATTTACACCTCCTTGTTCAGTACCTTGAAGCAGCACTTGGAGGAAAGAAGGCCTGTTTGGCAACAGCTGCTGCTTAACTCAATGATGGTATACAATGATGAAGGTGAAGGAAGTGCTAGAAATTATTTGGCTTCCACAATCGCCCATTCAAACAGTATCCATTTTTTTCCAGTCTAAGACTGGAGGATTAGAAAGCCCAGTTTACTGCATCCGTCATGTTTTTATTATATATAAATAAAAACAGCTCTCCTCATCTGTTAAAAGTGAAATAGGGTGCTAAAGAATTGTTCCATGTCTTGAATGTTAGAATTTTGTACTAGGGATTTATTAGTAACATTTCATAGATGTTTGGTTGAATTAATGAATCAAGTAAGTGATAAAGTTTTAAAAAATACTTTCTGTTTATTTGCAAAACAAAAATTTTTATCAGTGTGCTTAATTTTATCCACTTTGAATCTAAAATTATATATATTATATACATATATATATTCACACATTGTTTTGTGGGCACAGTCAGAAAACAAGTAAATCTCAGAAAGAGTTCACAGTAGTTTCATGAGAATAAAAAAATATAACAATGGAGAATGAAGTTACTTCCTTGCTCTTACCTAGGTAATCATTTTTAGTGAAACATGAGAGGATTTTCTCTTTCATGGGCTTCCCACTCCTTTTCTCTCTCCCAATCTTAATATTTATTTATTTATTTGTGAGGAATTAGAGGTAAGTATTAGGAATCTTGAGCCCCACCCTGTAAAATCAAGTTAGTTAATGTAGTGGAAAATACTGAGTCTGAGGCCCTGGGTTTTCATATTGGTTCTGCTACCTGTTACCTGTTTGTTCTAGGTAAGTTTCCTCATCTGAAAAAAAAATACAGATTATAATCTTTCAGCCTTACCATGTACTAGTACCTGCCAATTCTTTGATCCCATTACCTCATTGTTAAGCCTCTGCTGTTGAGCAACCCTAGGCCAGTGCTAAGTACAAGCCCCATTTAGAAAATAAATGATTGTTCTTATTTAGAAATGGGAGCATTTAATAGCTTTTATTTGAACATCTCCCCTTTGATATTTGTAGACCAAATCTGCCATCAGCTCTTGCTGCATTAGAAAATAGCACTGGCATATAGTAGACCTAGAAGGGCTACTCCTTATTTTAATCCAAGAGATCTACCTTGGGTCGTTTAGACAGTTTTACCTCAGACCTAAACTTTATAGGCAACATTCTGAGAATTAAATGAGAAAGATTTGGAGAAAGACCCAACAGATACAGTAGCACATAGCAATTCCTCACCTCTTGTCCCTCCTATCTTGAAAGCTAAATGTCTTAGTCTGCTTTCTATTTCTGTAACTGAATACCACAGACTAGGTAATTTATAGAGGTTTACTTAGTTAACAGTTCTGGAAGGTGGGAATTCCTCTTTTTATAAAGTCACCAGTCCCATCATACGGTCCCCACCCTGAGAACATTATCTAACCCTGACTACCTCCCAAAGGCTGCACAATCCACATGCCATTAAGTTTCCAACACATGAAACTTGGTGGGCACATTCAAACCAGAGCACTAAGCTATGAATGTTTCATTCCAGGTGTAAAATAATGGACAGTGTATTTTCATTAGAATATATACGGATATGTCTACATGTGCAATGTATTTATCGTAGTTTGAGTTTCCAATATTTTTGCTAAATAGAGTGCTTAAACCTCACCATAGTCTATTGCATTTTACCATAAATCTGGAGATTTTTTTTAATGAAGTCTGTTATCTGCCATATTAAAAGTTATCAGGTATAACTTTCCACAGAAGTTTGACATTATTTATGCTATGCTAGTTTCTTTTCTGCCACGTATGGCAGAATTTGAACATAATCTATATTTTTCTAATGAAAATCTTCTACATCTTAAGTTATAATTTAAATTTGCATGTTAAATATATCTCAAATTAGAGAATTGTTTCAGCTTCAGTTTGCCCTACTGATCAATAGATTGAGAACCAACAATGCCATGGGTCTCTTTGGTAGGGAGCAATTAAAATTAAGTTCATAAAAAATTCAATGTAAAACTTGAAAATGATATTAGGAATAATTTGCTCATATGCACATGGGAAATGTGAATTTACTTCAGTTGCTGTGTAGCAGAGGGGACACAGAATGTTGAGGTCGTTAGAGTCCCTAGCCTTTACTTTTAGAGAAATATGGCTTCACTTTGGTATTTTACACATAATGTTGTATAGCTTTTTCTTTACTTTTTGTTTATTCAGAACATTTCATATTTATATGGGTTCAGTATGATGTTTGTTATGTGGTAATGCCTGAATTTTCCTAGGACATGATTAATTGAAAAATAGGATTTATAGAGTGTGTTTATAGAATTTGTCTCTTAGACTCCCAGTACTACTTTAACTCTGAAGGTGATTGAACAGAATCATTATCAATACCTTTTAGCAACTAGAATTGGGTTATAGAGGAGTTGAGTGTGCTGTAATCAAATCTAGTTTTACCTTTTCCTTCCATTTAAAAAATCTTCACATTTGCCTTGTTTTCAACTAGTAAGAGCAAGGACTTTGTTGTACTATGTGTGGTGTTCAACAAAACGAATCTGAGTTTAATGACTTAGTGTTAATTAACTGTATGTTATAAAATGAAATTCCTTCCTATCTTCTGAGAATCTCCAGAAGAAATACTTAGAGAACTGATTGTCAGGTCATTTCACAGTGGTCTATAAATAAGTCTATAATAAATATTTCTGGATTTTTGATCTCTTGACCAGTTTTTCCTGAGGTTTCTCAATTGGAATTCATCTCAAAAAGGACATAATTATGACAAATTGAACAGATGTCATATGGCAGGATTGCTAAGCCTGCTAAAACTTATTAGTGATTGGAAAAAACAAATTCTCAGGTCTGATTATAGTAAATTGAGTTGGGTATGTGAATACATTCTTCAGTTCAGCATGCACTCCCACACTCTCTTCTCTCTTCTTCCCACCCCCGTCCCACACCAGTACCAAACTGCAGCTGTGGGCTTTTGGAGGGGAAGAAGAAAGTCATAGGTGAAGACAGCTGGATCATGGACTGGTACATTGTGACATTATATTTTCATTCTTTTGCTATTGAGGAAAGATGAGGCAGGCACATTTCAAAAGAACAGCTGACACTTCCCACACAAAGTCAGTAATTACGTCAGTCGGTATAACTCTTTGGAGTTTGTGGATCTTCTTTCACATGTATATGGCAGAGGTCCAGTTTGTAGGTCTGGGCAAAAGTGGGTGAATGTAGATTGGATACACGCCATGTGTACATAGTAACAGGTTCTCGCTCTGTCTCCCCAGCTCTCTTCTTTTTCTTTGAGCTGTGATACCAGTGATTTGATCGGAGTGGCATAAGTTTAACTAACACAACTGGGTTTCGTTGGGAATAGTGAATCTTATTATCTTTAAACTTAAAAATGCTACTATTTAATACATGTCTGTTTACTATAGTATTTGGGAAGTTACAGTGCTTTTGGGATTGTGAGGTGAGGAAATGGCTAGAGAAATCTCCTTGTTGGTAATGTATATGATAGTCAACAAACATAATAAGAAAAAATTTTCAAATCTTTTCTTATTATGTTTTTTGACTAGCATATGTTTCCTTTTCATATATAAGGAAACCTAAACCTTGAAAAAGGTATTTACTGGCTCTTTAGGTGGGGAACATCAGGTGCTCTTTTGAAATGTAGAAACATTTTTTTTTAAATTTTTGGTGTCAATGGGGAAACCTTTTCAGTCATAAGGAGGAAGTAAAAACTTACGATTGCTTTACAATAAACTGGTTGTCTTCTGATACTTGGGATGAGACAGGAGAAGGTCCAGAGTAGGTGCAATATACAACTTAAGCCTGGATGTTCCAGATCTCAAGCACTTTTGCCAGAGGCATTTGGACTATTTGGTTATTTCAGGTGTCCCGCCTAATGAAATAAAATTAGAAAAACTTGGGGCACCGTGTGCCAACACAAACCTCTTCATTTTAGAGGTATTTGTGGGCATATAGAAATGGCTTGAATCTTTCATTTTCTGATCATTTCTGCAAGGGATCACTATCCCACTGAGAGATTGGGCTCAGTGGTCTCAGTTATTTAAATCTGTTTTTCAAAGTGTAGGGTGAGCTCTAGTACCATTTTGTTTCCAATATTATTAGTAAGTTGTGAAATAAGATAAGGGGATTGTGACCAGCATTTTTGTCTTTAATGTAGTAAAATAGAATAAAATGCAATTTTGATGCTGGTTCTGCAGACCGTATTTGTGTTACTTAGGAGCTTGTTGAAAATACAGAATCTGAGGCCCAGCTAGACCTACTGTGTTAGGATATACATTTATCTACATTGTAACAAAATGCCACCATCAGTGTTTACAAAATATTGAAGTAGAAAATTGTAAAGTTTATTACAAGTTAAAAACACATCCATTAATTGTTGCTGCAATTTTGTTTGTATGTATTCGTGAGTATACCCGCTTGTTCCTTGAAATGTATTTCTATGGGTCACAAATCCACTATTTTAAATATGGTCAGTGACATCATATTCCTGGTTGTGTGCTCTGTGAGAGCTCTATCTTTGCTTGGGAGGCATTGATGTTGTCTCTGAAGTTTTCTTTTCTTTTCTCTGTTTTTTTTTTTTTTTTAAATCTCACTTTCCATTCTATCACTTTCTTCTAGTTACCTCTTGTATATCTATATTTTCTTCTTTGTGTTTAATGTGCTTCAAGCCTCAGAATGGTACTCATTGTTGTGAAAACATTTCCAAGTTTCAGTTTGTGGTCAAATATACTCATTTTACTGGGAAATTAATGCTAATTAGCAGGATTTTTTTTTTATGTTTCTAGCACCAAATTTAAAGAAGGAAATACCCCAATTTTACCAATGGGCTTTCTTCTTCCATTTGTTATGTCTTCTAAATATCAGATGCTATAGTTACGTTTTGTTTGGATATAATTAAATAACTCAGTCTTCTTTGTGAGCAGATATGCATAGCATGCCTTATAATGCTTGGAACAGAATTTTAAGAAGAAATATGTATAACATTGAAGTCTGACTTTGTATCCCCAGTTGTATTTAAAACAAACAGTTGTGGCTTCATTTTACTGTATTCCAACCTAGCCCAGTACAGGCCAGGTAGAGGAAGCTAACTTTTTGTATCACTTGTATGAGATATGCTAATTTCCTGGAATGTGATCAAAAATAGAGAAAAATCATAATACTTGTACTTAGTGTTTGTTCCTTTGGCCAGCAATATGCAGTTCAATTTACTCCAAATAAGCTGCTTTGAAAAATATGTGCTTTATTTCCGTGGCTTGGAGAGTGCGACCAGTGAACAGCAAGCAATGTAATATCAAATTTTTTATTAAGCCGTCTTTAGCTAATTTTAAACATTTTGTGTTACACAACCACACATTGGTTGCTCCTGATCTCACTCTTCTCCATCTGATTGTTCCATTTAACTTGCACTTTGTTTTAAAGGGCCTCCGCCTTGAGTTTTATTTTATTTTAACTTAGAATGCTACAGGGGTGGTCCAGAAAAGGGGGAGAAATAGAAAAATTTGAAATTCTTAACAGTGAAAATTAAGAGGCTTGTTACTTACTAGAAATCATTCTGTTTATCAGTTATATTAGACAGTATGTACAGCAGAATTGCAAATGCTTACTAATATTTTAGTTTTTTTAATCCATACTCTGTAACAGTATGATATACATGTATTTGTTAAATGAGTTTTCCTCTAATTTTTTGTGCATTTTCCCCCCTTTTCCATGAAGGCCTTATCTGTTTGGAGCGGGGTGTTTTTCCATAAAAGCTCCATGGTGAGTTCCAGTTCAGTCCCGCATGCCTAATTCATTTGCCGTACTCTCAAAAAGTAACTGTGTTTTGTAGTTTTGTTTTCAGTTGCATGGCCTGATCACAGATAGATGAAGCAAATTTCTGAATAATTTGTAGATAGGATATGAATGTTGATATTTAACCTTTAAAAAAGCAGTTTTCTGGGTTCCACTTTATTCCTTAAAAAGGAAAAGAAGTAAGAATCACATATGAGGGTTTTAAAAAAAGAAAATAGAATTCTCTCATAAAGATGGTGGATAACAAGACACCCAAGTTTAAATCTTTGAGTATTAAAGTAATAGAAGTTCCCTACGTATTATGCTTAATGTTTGAGGATGATTTATTTTGAAATATAAATATATTTAAGGTATACCAAAAATGCCCTTATAAGGTTTAACTGCATTTTATTGGACCACATTCAGTTCTGTTTGAATAGTTTAGGTATTTAAGGAGCTGCATAGTGAGGAAATAGTATTTCACATTACAAACTCCTAAATAATATATTATTTTTAATTATTAGCACCCACTCACTATAGCATAGTTATTTAGTAAGTTCTTTTATAGCAGTACATAGAATAAAGCTTTGTCAGTCTTAGAAGTGATGATCACAGAAAAGCAATAGAATGTATTTAATAGTATTTTGAATATGTAAAAATGTGAAGCACAGTTTATTAAGAACTGGGTATAAAATGTTTAATGGTTAAGAGTCAGCACTACAGAATCAGACTGCCTGGATCTTGAATCCCAACTCACATATACACTTACTGGCTATATGTTTTTGGGTATTTTCTAAAACTTCTGATTCTTGTTTTCCTTACCTATTAAATGAAATTAGTGGTAGCACCTACCTCATGGATTCATTGTGAGGATTAAATGGACTTGTCTATATCAGTATACATCTGTACATAGCAGTGCTTGGCACATAGCAAACAATAAATGTTAGCTGCTAGTATGCTATTTCTTCTCCAGCTTATGGGAAAATACCATGTTAGAAAAGAAGCTTCTTTAAATTAGATTATGATTTTTACTTTTAAGAGTATGTGAGCCAAAAGGCAGCTTTGGGAAATTTAGGGTATATCAATTTTATTAATTTAGTCAGTATTATATGCAACTGGAATATGTGAAAATTTTATTATTATAAAAATAGGTGACATAAATCAACATAAAATTTTCCTCCTTGAAATGCAGTATGATAATTAGGACACAGTTCGTAAAACTATTCTAAGTAAATTCAGGTGTACATGAGTATAAATCCCATGAAAGTTGATTTTTATTCTTTCTGTTAACCAGCTTCCTTCTAAAAACAAATAAGATACATAGATCTTATGATCTTATAGTGGCAGTGAATTTTAAATACCACATTCAACATATGACAAAATTTATTTGTAGACTAAACTTAGAATTAAATTCTATTTTAATATAAATTCCTCGTTCTAAGTACAAAGAAAAGAGTTTTAGTATGTTAATAAAGACTGAAGTTTTTGCGTAGAAGTAACGATGGAGTAACAAATGTTGTATGTTAAATAAGAAAAGTCCATTTCTCCAACAGCTTATGTGCTCCTCACATTTAAGCAAAAGCACTTGTCAACCAGAAATGATTTGAGGTTGAAACAAGATTAAAAGAGCCAGATTAAAGAAGGGGATATATGAAATATAGTAGACTTTTAAATCATTGCCTGTCTCTTAGAAGACTGCTTTGTGGTTTGTTTGATGCCATCGTTAGCTCATAAGAAACTCGTTTTTAGTCACTTATACTAGACTAAAAGAACCTCCTTTAAAATAGGTTACTTTACTAGTGGTACATGTTTTTTCCATTAAGATCTTAATGAAACCTCAAATTAAGGCAGCAAAATGAATATAAAATCGACAGCTTCTTCCATGTTGTTTGTAAGAGCTCCTTTGTTTTAATAGTTTTTCCTATTTTTCCATGATATTTAGCATTCAACCTGAGAATGTTTTTATTTACAGTTCTGAAATAAAACATTATTCTAAATAAGTATGTTTATAGTAATTCTAGTTGTAGGGTAATATATGTATTTTGGATGAAAATGAAATTTTTACAGTTTCTCTTGAAATGAAATGTAAATTTCTTATAATCTTTTATTGGTTTCAAGTTGCAATATTTATAGTTAGCTAGGATTTTGCTTTTGGTATATCACAATTTCTACTAATTCTTCATTTTTTATGAAACTGATTTAGTTCTTTACATTCATGCAATTTCAATTGAGTCAGTTTAAAAATAGTGTCTGTTCCTTTGATTATTAAAATAAGCTTGTTGGAAAGTAAGCTATGCAGGCTTCTTCGACATTTTAGTCACTTTAGACTTTTCCGGTGTTATGTATCCTCTATGTTGGTTTAAGTAGGATATTTGAGTTTGAATGACTACATAAAATAAGGTAAAAGGATTACACGTGTAACATACTTTTTGAAATGTAGGAATTTAAGAGAAATAATTCCAGTGTGACTTTTTAAAACTGAATTTTGCTTTCAATATTACTAATAAGTAGCAAGTATTCGTTGAGCTCCTAATGTGCATGTGTTTAACCACTGATAAAGCTACTGATATTTTTGAATTGCTTATGCAACAGAAGACAATAAGTAGTTCATATGAATATATCCCTTATTCATAAAGTGTCGTCATATTATATGAGGGTACTTCAAAAAGTTCATTTGGAAAGATTCGTATTATCTTTTATTTCTGTTTTTCCATGAACTTTTTGAAATATCCTTGTATAAGGTTAATTTTAAAGAACAATTAAAATTTAAATACTAAATTATATGTAGTTTTAATTAGCATTCTCTAAGAGTATTTGGTCAATATATAAATAATTCATGTAAACTAACCTTGTTCTCTTGAGAACATTTAAAAATTTTATAATTTCATTTTTTGAAAGGTAAGATTTATACGGGATGGAAGAGTTTACATAAATCTGTTAGATCTTTAATAATTTGTGTTAGAATAATCTTAGATTATTATCATCTTTAGTTATTTAAAATATTTAATACTTTCAGTTTGCCCTCTTATTTAGAAAATACGAGTGAGAGAAAACTTCAAAATTCCTTTTATAAGGTTAATCAGTGAAGAATATAAAGAAAGTCTTTTTCTTCTTTAACAGAAAGCCAATATACCCCTTATAATTCTTACATCAGTGTTGTGTCTTACATTTAAACTGAAATATTAACTGTTCTCTATGTTTTAGAAGAGGAAAGAAGTGGTGCTTCTGTCTCATGTTAACTTCTTCCATGCTTGTGTCCCTCTAAACAAGGCATCGTACTGCATTGCTGTTTATCATGCCATCCATAGATAGACCACATTGATCCTATTATATGGTAATAATTTTACGTAGTAAAATTATCCAGGAGATCATTGTCCTGTAATTTTTAAGTGCAGGTATCATTAGAGTTTTGTATTTTTTTTTTTTTTAATGTGTGCAGCTGAGTGTGGACAAAAAAAGGCAAGAGAAATTCAATACATTAATCTGACTGGATTATGTAATACCGTAAAAGCCAATGGGAGAAAAATGGGGAACTTCAGTAGCCTTTGTAAATACTTTTGAATTGCTAGTCATTTTAATATCCCTGCAACTTCCTCTGATGGCAGTGAAAATCCTTTTCATTCTGTGGTTAGATGGTTAAGCCGTTCCTCTGAAGAAATGACAGAAAGTTACACTCCTCATTTTTAATTTAGCACCTTATTGGTTTATTTTGGTATTTTGTTTGTATGTTTATTTGTAATAGACTTAGTAAATATGATGGATTATAATCATTTTTTCTGAAATGGTGAAAGTTGGATTCATTCCATTTTTCTTTTATGTTTCACTCAAAAGTTAAGCCAAATTAAAAAAAAAAAATTCGAACACGGGGTTATTTATCAGAAGCTAAGGGGCGGGAGTAAAGGAGCAGGGGTTATCAGTAGAAAGGAGTCCATCAGAGGTATTGGTATGTTTTGTTCTCATGTGTAACCATTTTACAGTATGGATGAGTTCATATAATCAATACTATTAAACTTCTGGGCACCAATATAAATTGAAATACTATTTTTATATAATTGTATTATGAATTTAATAAATAAATAAATAAATAAATAAATGAGGGAAGGCCTCAGACACCCAGAAGAGCTCTTTTTAAACTTTGATATATTCCGTAATGGGATTTGTTAAGGCCTCTTTCAGGGGAAAAAGGGAGATGTTGAGAGCAAAAAGGAAAAGGTTAGTACTGTAGTGCTTTCCTACAAAGCCTGGATCACCAATCTGTAAATTTACATGATTTACAAGGATAGCACTTTTCTATTCCATTAACATATATATCAGTTTTCTATGTTTTATCTTTCTGTCAACAAAAGGTTATTTTGCAGTAGGAATATTCTGGGTCATTGTGGAAAAGTTCATACATGATATGTTGGTGACACACATTAGTAGAAAAGCCATTCTACTTCTACCAAGCATTCCTGGACTCAGTCTTTTTAAAACTTAGGGCAAAGGGCAAAGTTAAAATTTCAAAGTTTGGATATATGACATAGAAAATATTTTATTAATGTCATTCTTTTCATTAGCTTATTTCTCCTTTTTCTTCCTCTGCAAGTCGTATACACACATGTACATTTTTTTTTTCTGTATTGCTTAAATACCACATCATTCCCTAGGTAGACTGATGATACAAATAACTTGATATTAATATGTTTACCTGATATGCTTCATACCCAGTACACAGCACTATGTCATGCAGCAGGTAGCAAGTCATTTTTAGGGATGAAAACTCCTTTGATTCCTGTTAAACATGAACTTTTACTAATGGGATTTATTAAGGCCCTATCAGAGTTAAAAAAAAAAAAAGACATATGAAATATAAGAATAAGAATGCTTGTCATACTTTTACCATAAATTACTTATTCTCTGTAGGAAATAATGAGCTTATGTAAAATGACACTGTGTTGATTCTTTTTATTTTTGTGTTCCAAAACTGAGTTATGTGTTAACTTATAGAAGTGTAAGAGCTTTTAATTTTTGACATGGGCTGATTAGACTGTAAGCTAATAAACACACAGAATATATTTTTGCATGTCCAAAGACTAAATTGGTGTCCTATCATTTCTCTACTCTTTATTATTATGTTAGAAAAGTGTCCATCTGGCCCAGTAGCAACTATTTTTTTTTTTTTTTTTTTTTTTTTTTTTTTTTTTTTTTTTTT